CCATAATCATTACCATTTAATATAGTTAAAACCATAACCATAATTTAGGACCCACAATTGACTGGAATGGTACAAAATTTCTTATGTACTAGTATTTTACCCGTGCGTTGCACGAGGTGAGTTTAAAAATAAGAAAAATAAACTTATGTAAACGACTATCTCTTTATAACAATACCAATTCAAGTAAAACAAAATGGAAGGAAATAAAAAACATAAACTTTATTTCTTAATTTAGAGTTGTAACCATAGGAAGAATAGAATTGGAGAAGGAGATCATAATACGTAATAGGGGAGCCCCATTGTGTTCTGGGTTGATGTAATAGAGTTTGACTAGGTAACTAAATCCTAACTAATCTAGGTAACCGAATCATAATAGAATCCTAATATCCTATAATATCTAATAATATAATATACTCTAACACGCCCCCGCAGTCGAAAGGTGACGAACGTGAAGACTGGACAATCACTTGCTAGCACACTCCCGCAGTCGGAACGAATAAACTTCAATAGTGAAGACAGGACAGAAACCGCAAAACACAACGCTAGAGAATTTCTTTGTGGAAATATTTGCCCAATTGATTAAAATAATAATAATAATAATAATAATAATAATAATAATAATAATAATAATAATAATAATAATAATAATAATAATAATAATAATAATAATAATTATAATAATAATATAATAATAATAATAATAATAATAATAATAATAATAATAATAATAATAATAATAATAATAATAATAATAATAATAAACGGGTGAGAAGTTTTTTTTTTTTTTTTTGTGTATGAATAGAGAGAGAGAGAGAGAGAGAGAGAGAGAGAGAGAGAGAGAGAGAGAGGATATGAGAGAGGGAAAAAGAATAATTAAAGAAAGATAGAGATAAAAAGAGAGAAAAGAGATTAACCGACTAAGAAGAAGAAGATGTTGGAAAAGATAGAGAAGATGCACCAACGGGGAGCGAGAAAATTGGGTGTTGTTCATAGAAAAGACAGAAAAAGAAAGATATTAAGAGTACCACCACCGGCCACCACCGGAGTAGGGAGAAAATTGGGTGGTCACCGCCATGGAGAAGAATGGCGGCTAGGTTAAAAAACCTGGTGCTCTGATACCATATAGGAAGAATAGAATTGGAGAATGAGAGAAATAATAATACGTAATAGAAACTCTCATTGTGTTATGGGTTGATTACATGGAATATATATAGAGAAATATTGCAAGGTAATAGAGTTTGACTAGGTAACTAAATCCTAACTAATATAGGTAACCGAATCATAATAGAATCCTAATATCCTATAATATCTAATAATATAATATACTCTAACAGTAACATATGAAATTAAGTTAAACATTACAAATAAGAAAACATGGAAGCGCGCAAAACACGATATCAAGATTAAGTGAAATCATTTAAAACATATGGTATAACTCTATTTCTTGGATTGCAATCTACTACACCATGTGAATCTTCTGCAAAATAACTAAGGTAACAACAAACATGGTAGCAGAGAAGTAACACAATAGATATTCAAATAACCTGCAAGTTTATCACTAATGGCGTTCAATTAGTGATGCACATTACTCAAACAACAATAAAACTTATAAATATTGCAAAAGAGATATGATGTATACGCCACTACCAGTACTGATACCAATACCGATACCAATATTATTACCAATAGTGATACTAATTCGATTAATATTAATACTAATACTAATACTAATACTAATACTAATATTAATACTAATGTTAATACTAATAGTGATACTAATGTTAATATTGGTACTAATACTGGTACTAATACTAATACTAATACTAATACTAATACTGGTACTAATACTAATACTAATACTAATACTAATACTAATAGTAATAATAAAACTAATATTAATATTAATATTCATATTGATACTAATACTAATAATAATATTGATACTTACATTGATAATTATAGTTATATTGATACTAATACTAATACTAATACTAATACTAATACTAATACTAATACTAATACTGATTGTAATACTAATATTGTTACTAATACTAATACTGACATTAATACTAATACTAATACCGATACTAATACTAATAATAATACTAATACTGATACTAATAATAAT